CAATGTCAGTAATCTTATTAGGATCTTATGAATTATTGCAGTTTATTCACACCAAAGAAACTATTTAGTATTTACACTTGTGACTTATTTATTTCACTTAGGAGTGTATCTTCAATATGTATCCATTTTCCTATGAATGAATCTATTTTCTCATTCTGTATGGCTGAGTAATATTCCATTTTATAGAAAAACCACATCTTCTTTATCCAGTTTCCAACGGATGGGCAAATGGGCTGTTTCCAAGTTTTAGCTATTACAAATTGTGCTGCTATAAACATGGGTGCACATACATCACTGTGATAATGGTTCTTTTAGTTCTTTTAGAAAGATACCCAGCAGGGGATGGCTGGATCAAATGGAACCTCTAATCCTAGTTGTTTGAGGTATGTCCATATTGATTTCCACCGTGGTTGCACCAGTCTGCACTCCCACCAACAATGGAAAAGGGGTCCTTTCTCCCCTGCCGACATTTGTTATTGATTGATTTCTTGACAGCAGCCATTCTTTGTGGGGTGAGGTGGAATCTCAGTGTTGTTTTCATCTGCATCTCTCGAATGACCAGTGATGTGGAGCATTTTTTCATATATTTGCTTGCTGCTTTTACTTCTTTGTCTGAGAAATGTCTGTTCATTTCGGATGCCCATTTTTAAATCGGGTCTTTATATTTGAGGGGGGGCTGATAGTTTTGAGTTCTTTATATATTCTAGATAATAGTCCTTCGTCTGAGGAGCAGCTCATAAAATTTTTTTCCCGCATTGTAGGTAGCCTCTTAGTTCTGCTGATGGCTTCTTTTGCAGTGCAGAAGCTTTTTAATAAAATGAGATCCCAGTTGATTCTTTCTGCTAGTTCCTGTGCTGTTGAGGATTTGTTCATAAAGTCTTTTCCTATACCAATGTCTTCCAGAGTTCTGCCTAACTTACCTTAACAGTAAGTTTAGTGTTTCTTGTTTAATATTCAGATCTTTAATCCACTTGGATTTTAATTTAGTGCATGCTGAAAGATAAGGGTCCAGTTTTAATATGTGGCAGGTTGAAATCTAGTTTTTCCAGCACCATTTGTTAAAGAGGCTATATTTCCTCCACTAAGGATGGTCAGATCCTTTGTCACAGATGAGGTAGCTGAGTACATCTGAATTGGCTTTTGTGTCTTCCAGTCTGTTCCACTGATCCTCAGGCCTGTTTCTTTGCCAGTACCATGCTGTTTTTATCACAGTGGCTTTGTAGTATATTTTCAAATTGGGAATTGTTATACCCGCTGCCATGTGTCTGTTGCCTAGGACGGCTTTTGCTATTCTAGGTCTCTTATGGTTCCAGATGAATTTTGGGATTCTTTTTCCTAGTTCTGTGAAATATAGTGTTGGAATTTCAATTGGCATTGCATTGAATCTGTATAGCAGTTTTGGTAGTATGGCCCTTTTCACTATGTTGATGTTTCCTACCCAGGAGCAGGAGATATCTTTCCATTTTTTTATATCCTCTTCAATTTCTTTTTTCAGAGTGCTATGGTTTTCAGTGTAGAGATCTTTTGCTTCTTTTGTTAGATTGATTCCTAGATACTTCATTTTTTTGCATGCTATTGTGAAGGGAATTGTTTCCCTAATTTCTCTCTCCATGAGTCTGTTATTTGTGTACAATAAGGCTATTGATTTTTGGGTTTTCACCTTGGATCCAGCTACTCTACAGAATCTGTCAATTAAGTCTAGAAGTCTTTCGGTGGAGTTTTTTGGGTATTCAATGTAGAGTATCATATCATCAGCAAATAATGACAGTTTAACTTCTTCCTTTCCTATCTTTATTGGTTTGTTTCTCTTGTCTAATTGCTATGGCTAATGTTTCCAGAACTATATCGAAGTGGAGTGGTGATAGTGGGCATCCTTGTCTTGTTCCTGATTTTAATGTGAAGGCTTTTAGTTTTTGGCCATTTAATATGATGTTGGCTGTTGGTTTTTCATAGATAGCCTTTATTAAGTTTAGGTATAGACCATCTATTCGAATTTTTTGCAGGGTTTTTATCATGAATGGGTGTTAAATTTTGTCAAATGCTTTTTCTGCATGTATTGAGAGGATCATATGGTTTTTGTCCTTGACTTTGTTAATATAATGTATTACATTTATTGACTTACGTATGTTGAACCACCCTTGCATCCCTGGAGTGAATCTGACTTGTTCAGGATGTATGATCTTCTTGATAATCCTTTGTATTCTATTTGCTAGTATTTTATTAAGGATTTTTGCATCTAAATTCATTAAGGAGATTGGCTTATACTCTTTTTTAGTTACATCTTTCCCTGGTTTGGGAATCAAAGTGATACTTTCTTCCAGGAATGAATTTGGAAGTACAGCTTCCCTTTCAATTTCATTGAAAAGTTTGAAGAATGATGGCAATAGTTCTTCTCTAAATGTAAAATTCAGCAGTGAATCCATCAGGGCCTGGGCTTTTGTTTGTTGGTAAATTTTTAATTACATTTTCAATTTCACTGACTGTAATTGGGGTTATTAAAATGTTTTTATCGTCTTTGTTCAACTTTGGTAATTCATAAGTATCTAAAAATCTGTCCATTTCTTCTGTGTTTTCCATTTTATTGGAGTACAGTTTCTCAAAGCAGGTATAAGATTCATCATTAGGTTGTTTATTTGAGCTAGCTCTGTTTTCTTAGTGTGGGCATTCAATGTTATGAATTTTCCCCGTAGAACTGCTTTCATTGTGTCCCATAGATTCCTGTGTGTTATATTGGCATTTTCAGTTATTTGTAAAAGTTGTTTAATTTTTTCTTTAATTTCCTCTGTAATCCATTGATTGTTCAGGAGAGTGTTGTTCAGTTTCCACGTGCTTGTGAAGTTCCTACAGTTTCTTGTGCTATTGATCTCCAGTTTGATTGCACTATGATCTGATAATAGACAGGGGATGACTTCAGTTCTTTTGCATTTATTCAGACCTGTTCTGTGAGCCAAGATGTGGTCTATCTTGGAGAATGAACTATGTGCAGTCAAAAAGAATGTATATTCTGATTTTGTGGGGTGGAATACTTTGCAGACATCTATTAAGTCCATGTGTTCCAAAGCTTGGTTAAGTTCTGTTATTTCATTGTTGATTTTCTGCCTAGATGATCTGTCAATTTGTGATAGTGTGGTATTTAAATCACCCATGTGTTCCAAAAGCTTGGTTAAGTTCTGTTATTTCATTGTTGATTTTCTGCGTAGATGATCTGTCAATTTGTGATAGTGTGGTATTTAAATCCCCCACCAGAATTGTATTAGTGCTTATTTGGTTTTTCATGTTACTTAATATTTGTTTTATATAGTTGGGGGCATTTATATTTAGTTCATATATGAGTCTCTTGCTCCACCATTTTATCCCCTTCAAAGGGGATAGACAGAGTGCAGGAATAAGGACAAGAATATATCCCCTTAATAGTAACAGGGGCTCACCTTCCCTTGAAGCTACAGAGCCATGAGTGAGATAAAATGACAGGAGAAAAGAACGTAAAGAAAAAATGATAAAAGAAGAAGTCTGAGTTAAACGGCCAGGAGCAGGAATAAAAAGGGAAATGAGGGATAAAATGGTGAAGGAAGAGACTGAGTTGGAGAGAGAGGACAGAAAAAAGAAAGAAATTGTAGGGTGGAAGGAGGAAAAGAAAAAAAAGGCTAACTGCTCTGGCTACTGTTTGAAGTACTGAATTGAACAGGAATGGTGTTAGTGGACATCTTTGTCTTATTCCTGATTTTA